TGCTAATCCCTCCTTCTCTTCTCACTCCTCTGACCTGCTCATGCCCTGCAGTGAGGAGGACCCTGAAGAGCGGCCTGACCCCAGAAGAAGCCCGCGCCCTGGGCCTGGTGGGCACCTCGGAGCTGCAGCTGTGACCCGGGGACACCCTAAGAAGTGTGCCTGCGCAGAGTGCATGCTCCTGCTGGACGGAGCCCCTGCAGTGCAGGGCGAGGAGGCTCTGCGTCAGCATCAGCATTGAAAGGTCTGAGAGAAAGGGCCCATTTCTCTGTGGCGCCACGGGCTGTGTTGCATGGAGTCTCCTTCCTGTACTTTCTCTTGTTTCCTTGGCACCCGGTTTAGTAGTTCCAAAGGGTGACACCTTTTCTGTGCGAGGAACGGACCTTTTACAGAGCCGATCACTCTGTCAGTGACTAAGGGAATAGATTCACGGACTGGGTCTCTCCACACCACCAAAGTATCCCGATGTAAAACCCAAACTGTACACAAAGGAAAGCACCGGTTGTTGGCCAGTTGTGGATTTTAGATGTCCTAAATGTTTATATGGATTCATAAATGTACACCATGTTTCAGATACTAAATAAATAGAGTTTAATGTCATAACGGGAAACTTTTATTCTCTTGGCTGTAGGACCTTAAATAGCTCACAGTTTTGTCTCCTTCTGAGTCAGCGAAACCTCTCCCCAGGTTCACCAGGACCCTGGCTCAGAACTGTCTCAGGCCTGGGAGGTGGGGGGACAGGGGGGTCCAGTTGGTTACTAGAATGAGGAGCCTGACAATGCGCTCTCTGTAACTCCTCATTAATTAGTCATCATGCTAGCGATAGCCTTCTTACCTGTATGCTTTGCTTAGCTCCATAGCGATGTGGAAGCAAAAATATAGAGTAGCATTTTAAAAATCTGAACTATTCTATAACTCACTCACTTGCCTGTTCATGTAAAAATTCATTTTCTCAAAAAGTTTACTGTCACCAAAAGAAAATGAACATTTTAAGCTCTGAGTGCAGAGAATGACAAATGGAGGCCTGGGCACTCAAGGACCGGTCATCAGAAGCCAAGGTGTCCGGAGTGGGATGCGCCGTGAGGAGCTCCTGGCAGTGGCAGAGCCACGCTGAAGGGGCTGCTGCCCAGGTGGTCGCTGAGCCCTTCCCAGAAGTCCCTCCGTCCAAGGTCACGTGGCTCGCGTGAAGAGCCTCTGCCTCAGAAGCAGGGAAAGGTAAACCACTGCAGTAGGTCGTTGGGGGGCTGAAAGATAGCCGGGTCACTCATGCTTTCTTTGCCTTCATTTCAACCTCTGTGACTCTGTCTTCCTGAGCCTGGTCAGATGTGATTGATAGACAACCGCATTTGTGTTGTCCGAAGAGCCAAAGACCATAGATTCACCCCACATTCCTCTGTAACTGTCTCCCTTTTCTGCACCCCCACTCACTGAGCCACTGCGGGCTCTTTCCAGCAGGTAAAGAAAAGCAAATACTTCTCTGTTAAAGATGCCCGAGTTTGGGTTTCTTTGGGAATTGACATTATAATATTGATGGTGAGTACCTGTTTTTAAATGGCCTGAAACACGAGTTGTAAAGATAGTAGTGAAGGCCTCATTGTTTTTCTTACTAAGTTGCTCAGTAAGCCTACATTCTAGAATCCCAGCTCTGTTCCAAGGGTCATGGGCCAGAGCCACCTGAGGGCGATGTGCCTCAGGAACCAGGCACCTAAATGCACCCCAAGAGCAAGAGCAATCTGTACCTCCACCTCTATCCCGAGGGATGGCCTCGTGTACAAGGCGACTTGGTAAAGGTAAGTTGCTTTTCCATCTTAATTTTGTCAATAGTTTGTCCCTTGCAGCTTTTGCTTGAGGGATGAGGCCTCTCTCTTTGTTGGATTTGAACTTTCTGAGGGATGTTTGTGTTCCTGTCTTGGTTAGTCTACAAGGTATTCTTTGCCAGTCTTTATGCGGTGAAGAGAGAAAAAGGTAACTTAATAGCAGGCTCGTGGAGAAATGTCCTTTCTTGGGTGATCATTCCTGAGCTCCAGAGGGTGTTCTCAGCCGGGCCCACGGCGTCCTGTGAGATGCAGAAAGCCTGCTCCTTCGTTTCTCTCAGCTTTCCACGCTGTGGTGGGGCCTACAGGCTGAGCTGCTCTGTTGCCTATGGCTAACACGTGGGGCAGAGCCCAGGCCCTGGCGCAACCCACTCTGCAGCCAGGACGAAGGCCCCTTTCCAAGGTGAGCAGTGATGCACCCTTGGGTTTCCTTATATATTGTGAACATATATGAAGTAGGAAAGAATGCTGTGTCCTAGAAAAAGGGTTTCTTAAATTAGGTAAATGTCTGTTCTTTGTTGAGTATAGTATCCTATAAAAAGGCATTGCAGAACTGTTCTAAGAACTGTAAATGTGTGGGGGAAAGCCACATGGGATCTGAGAGAGCTGTCCAAATAGAGCTTTTTGTATTGCTGCGTGTTCTGTGAGAGCTTTTTGCATTGCTGCGTGTTCTGTGCACACTGTTCAGTGTGGCAGTCACTAATGTGACTGCTGAACACAATGGTGACTAGAGACTAAGGAAAACATTTTAAGTTTCAGTGTCTACCCGTGCTTATTCACCCAGGTGTGAGAGAACACACCTTTATCTGTACTTAGTTGTTGTTTATTCATTTTAAATCTAGGAGGTTTGTGTGAAATGTGTGTATCACATTGCTTTAGACTGCCATTTGCTCCATCAGGAACTTCAGTGCCTACCTGAGTTCTGAGCTTGGGAATTCTTGTCCTCAGAGGAGAATTCTGTGATTGATGCTGGGTGCTGGCAAATCTGCACTCTTCTCTCCCGAGGCATTCTGCCATTTGGTCTCGTTTTGTGATTCCAGGATGACATATTTTGAGGTAAGGCTGCCTCACAGTAGAGCCTATTGCCATTTTAATCACACTTCTTTAAAACATCCCCTCACGGGTGAGTTTATTCCAATGTAACCCACTCAACGTACATTCTGTCTGAAGCCTTTCTCCAGGATGCTCCCCTCCTCCTCCTCCAGGGCCAGCTTCCTGGGTGGGCATTGCACTCAGAAGGGCCTCAGTAGTTTGTTAAATGCTCTTCTGTCACTATTCTGTAATGTGTTTTTAAAAAATATATTTTATTGATTTTGTACAGAGAGGAAGGGAGATAGTTAGAAACATCGATGAGAGAGAGTCATCGATCAGCTGCCTCTTGCACACCCCCTACTGGGGATATGCCCGCAACCAAGGTACATGCCCTTGACCAGAATCGAACCAGAGACCCTTCAGTCCCCAAGCCGACGCTCTATCCATTGAGCCAAACCGGTCTCGGCTAGTTTTTAATTTTATCTTTGAATTTGTGTGTTTTAAGTGAAGTCTGATGAGGCAAAGGAAACACACCTGAGCAGAGATGTGTGCAATACACGCGTCCACCATTCTTACTGTCGTTTGCTTACAGCTCTGCGATGCCTGTGAGCAGAGAATTCGTGTGAGCCCACTGGATGGGAGCATTCAGAGATTCAGAGGACAAGGTAAGCCTGTTATGTAAACAAGCCTATTATGTGGGGGCACTGAAGCCAAAAAGACCTTACTTTTTCCATTTGAGAATTGATTCAAATGCAAAAAAGGAGGTAATGGTATTCTAAGCAACATGAATGACCACGGAACCCTAACATATTCTTTCTTACTCATGGTAGAATCAGCCAACCACTTATGGTGAAAAATGATGACATAGAAGGAAAACATATGGGAAAACATAGTTTCTTTTTCTCAGAACTTCCTTATTCATCAGTAAGTTGAAAGTGTTGTTAGAACGTGTATATATCAAGAAGTGAAATGATAACATTTGAGCTAGTTTTATGCAGTGTTCCCACAGTTCTGGTAAGAATACATATGCACACAGTATGTATACATAAGTATGAAACACAAATTATGTAATTCTGGTTGTTCTGCATGAGTTCAATGTTTTATATTTGCAGCTAAAACTGGAGTTAGATAAAATAAAGATGAATGATAAAACACTAATAATTTAAAATTTTAATTTTACTTAGAATAGCATTAACTAGCAAAAACCACCATAACAAGCTGCTAGAGGCCATGGAAGGAAGGAAAAAACACTTTAGCACCTTTAATGGGACTGTTTCCTGAATGTGAACCAGAGATCTCACCCTTGTGCTTGCACTGGGCTCAGGTCAGCCAGAAGTGACTCAGCTGTTTACGAAGAGTCCTGCAAAGCACCTTTCCGGGGTTTGTTTTAAAGGGCTGGAGTCCAACAGAATCACCTCTCCTTTAGAGAAAGGTAATTTTGGCAAAAGCGCAAACATTACAACACAAAATTGGAAGCAAGAAACTTTATAAAAAAAAAAACTGAAAAAAAAATGCAGATTTGTGGTGAAGGATATAAGGAACATACAATTATATTTTCAAGAGTTTCCGTAGAACATTATGATCATCAAATTAAGGTATCAACATTTCTCTAACAAATATTAATTGAACTGAGAAGAACAGTGGGAAGATTCTAATGGGGTGCCATCCAATAGAATTTTCTGTGATGACAGAAATGTCCCATTATCTCTGCGCTGTCCATGTGGAATCCACTAGCCACATGAATATTCCAAGTGTAGCTATAAGGACATGGATTTGCAGTATAACTTAGATTTAAATAGCAACATGTGACTAATGGCTACCAACAGAACATTGCAGTTCTAATGCCTCGTGGTTCTAAACCAGCGGCTTCTTTGGGGCACTCCTCAGTTCCTGCTGAGAGGGCTGCTCTGGGAAGAGAGGAACCTCTGAACAGATTTATTTGGCTACTTTAAAGAAGATCTAAAATTCTGCACAGCGTGTGGAGGTAGGGGTGTCATGAGAGGACGACTCCGGGGGAGACCTGAGTATGCCCTTCCAACTCTTGGCTAATTCACGGGAGTAAGAGGCCTGGGGTTTGGTCACTCAGATGGGACCCCCTGGGCATCTGTGCCTGGAAATCATCGCTGTGGGATTGCAGGGAGCTGGCGAGAAGGGGACTCATTTCCGCACAGGGTTTCCGGAGCCAGAGGTGGACTTAGGGGTGGAGGGGGCGGAGGGAGGACCCGAGGGCCCTTTCTGGCTGCCTGCAGATGGAACAGGCCCTTTCTTTTTTGGGATTAACATCTTGTTCTTGCTCCTGAACACTTTGCTGGGATCCAGCTTGTTCACAAAGGAATCGGTTTCTTCAGTGAGCAGGCTCGTGTTGTAGGTGATGGGCTTGTACATGTTGAACCATTGCTGGAAGGCAGAATGGAGAGAGGGTCACAATCAAAGGAGAAATGCTCTTGTTTATGCTATTCAGTGGGGACACAGGGAAGAGAGCCAGACAGATGAGGCAAAGAGTAAGTTTTTATGAAAAAGCCCTTGAAATTATATTAGACTTCCTGTGAAAGTGATGACACACGCATTGCTCCGTAAGGTCTTAGAACCTTTTAAGTAAATGCAGTCTGAGGACTACGAATCTGGTAAGATTCCTTCCTTCTGATCTAGTGAGCCCTGAGCCTGGGCTGCTGGTCCCAAATCCAGAGGACACAGTCCTAAGTGTTCTGCCCTCAAACCAGTCATTGCTCATTGGGTAGGTTTGGCAGGATCTGTAACATAAAGGAGGCACACCCATGCTCTGGAATTCTCTGTCACTGAGCAGGACAGCTCTCTATGTACTGATAGGGAATGAGCTCCAGGACAGAGTGCTGAGAGGAAAGAAGGGACACACAGATGTGAGCAGCATTCTGCACTTGTGACTGGGAAAAAAGGAACCCAAACCACATGCCTGCGTGTCTTGGTAAGGGCACACGAGAAACTCCAACATGGCTGCCTGTGGGGAGGGGCACCGGATGCTGACAACCTTTCTGTGTGCTGCCATCAAAACCCTCAATCAGGACGAAGGCCCGACAACATTTGATTAGAGTAAAACTTCTCAGTGATTCTGAGGCCCAGCCAGCTCGGGAACCACGACCTAGATTGGTGTAAAGTGAGAAGGGACCAGCTGCCTCGCTTATTGAAAGGGATCTGGGCTCCACCCCGGGTTCCTCAATCAGATGGGAGAGCTGGGAGTCTGCATTCCTCAGAAGGCAGTTTGAGTGGACAGGTGGTGCTTACCTTGGCCTGTGGGCTAATGCCATAGCTGGTGAAGGCGTACTGCCACTGAGGCAGGCCCAGGTGCGTGAGAAGCAGGCGGTAATAGGCGGTGAAGGTGTCTGTGAGGAAATGCCAGTACAGTGCTCTGTCCAGGAACCAGATCTCAGAGTCTTTTGCTAATGCTGAAACAGCAAAGGACAGAAATGAAGGGATAGCTTAACATTTTTCCTTTTATCTAAAGTCAATATATACTCATCATTTAAAAAAATTCAAATAGTACAAGTTCCCTTCTTTCTGTTCTGACCTCCTGGTCCCATTCTCCACTGGCTGCCGCGGCTCGGTGCCCTTCGGATTCCTGACCCATGGACGGATCCCTGTGCGGGCTTCTGCCACGTGTGCACCAGGCTATCTCAGCAGCACTGCTTTTCCCTGTGGAACAGTATTCCCCTCCCCAGTGGGCACACACTGCAGTCTCAGCTTTCCCGAGGGAGAGGAATCCCAAATAGCTCTGGCTTTCTAAAGACTCTGTCAAGAGTTACACGTGCTATGGGAAACCACCGTGGACCAGCTCCCTCTCTTGGGAGCCTGCCTGTGCTGCCGTGACGTCCTGGTTGGGCAGAAGCAGGCACTGTTGTTCCAGGGCCCGCCTCGCACCTGCTTCTTACCTGCCACTCTTACTAGTAGCCGGCCCCCCTAGTTCATCTCCTGTCTAATGGCTGCCACATCTCCCTAAGTGGCCTCCAGGCTCTTCCTCTTCCCAAACTGCTTATGCTCTCATACATTTTCCTCGGAATCCCGCCATTCTCCTGGAGAACATCCTCAAGCTCCTCCTCTCTTCTGCGTTATGTCCAGACTCCTCCACCTGGCTTTCAGAGCGCCGCTGAAAGGGGACCACCAGCTTCTGGCTTCATCCCTTTATCCACAGGACGAACCATGGGAGTTCGGTGAACTGGGATTCTTTGTCATTCCCCCCAAATCCGCTGGTCTTTCCTACGGCATGGCTTTCACTTGTCCCTCTTCGGATGCCTCTTTCGCCAGCAAACCCTTTAGCCCCACCCGTGTCTCATTCCTACCCTGTGTCAGAGGCAGCTCAGAGGCCTTTACCAAAGATCCTCAGCTGAAGACCCCTCTCCTTCCCGGAGGTTAGTCTTCTCCCCCGACCAGCCAGAGGGCCTGGAAGGAGGCTGGGCTTTGTCCCGCTCTGTTCACAGCCCCCAGGCCAGGGCCTGAACTGCTGGTAGCTGCCAGGTGGTAGCCCTGCTCAAGGCCAGAGCTCTTTTCTCCTCATTTCCCATCTGTGCTTACACTGAAGTCTAGTAATTCAGGTTTTTAGTGCTGTTTAACTGGGTAACATAAAGAAGCACTGAAGAAAGACCATGTTTCTCCTGAATGCTTTTCTAACACGTGTGCCTGCTGGAGGAGCTATAAATAGAATGACTTCCTCTAGTCTTAATTCACTTATTACCCTAATCCCATTATTTTGCAATAAGTCACAAATGATGATAGCTTAAAAAGACTCTACTAATGGGCACAGAGAGGGGTGCTCAGAGAGGTCTTGGCACATATATGAACCCGGGTGGTATGCCAGGTCAGGAGTAGAGTGCCTTTTGTGTGTGGCTGGAGAGCAAGGTCAGCCAGGGCTGTCCCCAAACCACAGACCATGCTTTGCTTGTCAATGTTTCCTACCTGGTTTCCCTTTTTTGTAGACGAGGCAAACCTTCCCATTCCCGTTGCAAGGGTCCAGCTCAAATATCACACTGCGAGAGTCAAAGTGGGGCTTCGCAGGCTGGTTCTCACTGTCTGCAAACCCACAAGGTAATGGTGATGTTCAAATATACTCAACTCAAGCACACACTTATGCATCTAGCTTTGCTCACATGTAAAAATGGGGTAAAAGGCCTTCTCGCAGACATAGCCTTAAATATTTTCCTGAGTAGGACACATGATTTCTATACTTTAAATGTCTGGAACTTATCCGCGGCCCAGGCCTTTTGTTTGGGCTCCCTTATCACCAACAGTGCCATGAATCTGGGCGAAGGTGGCAGGAGGAGAATGAACTCAACTTCCTGGGAGTGGGACTCCATAAAGGCAGAGAGATCTGAATGACCTGGTGTTGATATAGCTTTTTTCTTTTCCTCAGGCAACTACTTTCCCCTTTTCTATAGCATTTTATGATCTTTTGATTAGAATCCTTTTTCTCAGTCTAAAATGTATATATTTAATTATGTTATTATGTTATAATTAATGCTAGGTCTAGTTCCAATTAAAAATACCCACCTAGAAATCAAATATTATGGAATAACATAAAAGATTCTTAGAAATCCAAGCATCAGAAACCTTCTCATCTGTCATTATAGCTAACATGCAATAAATATTAGTATTTATGACAGGGGTGCAGTTTACTAACACAGGATAGATTAAACAAAGTATATAGATAGAATATTTACATGTCCTATTTAATAAAGAGCTAATATGCTATTTAGACTGAACAGCAGAACAATCGTCTGGATTAAGCCGGAGCCTGCGAGGGCTGGCCAAGGCAGGTGGGGCTGTGAGGGCCGAGCCCCTTGCCTGAATTTCATGCTTCGGGCCTCTAGTACATTACAAAAGGGAAAGAAGCAGGCTAATTTCTAATTCAGAGCAGAAGTTTGTACCTTCTTGTGTATCGTCCTCCAGGTCAGCCAGAGTTGGTGCATTAGGAAGTGAGTACATGGAAGTCTGGTTGAGTTGAGTCAGTTTTGTGATACTATTAATTGCCATGTTGCCCAATGGGATGCTGTGGTCTATGGGAACATTACAAAGAATTACTTAGAAGAATACCTTAGTGACCATGGTTGTCAGTAAGGCTTTTGCTTAAGTAACCCAATCCCGCCTATTGTTTGATCCTAGGGCTGAGGAAGCTGATGGAGAGAAGATCAATGCACAGCATGCTCTAAGCACCAACCTTCATGTGAAAAACAACAACCGGGGCCACAGGCGAAGAGTCCCCACCGCACATAGCAGGGCAGGCACTAAAGGACAGTGACAAAGGGATGCTCCAGAGGAACTGAGAGATCTAGGGCAGGAGCCCTGTTTGAAGAGCAAAGGACTGAATAATGTTTTTGTTCCTTCTTCCCCTTGCATTAAGTCATATGTACTTTCCGAAGGAGTAGCAGCTTTGTTGATATACCTGACCCTTCTACCTCCTTGTTATAAGCTTCCACGATGGAAAACATCTCCTGCTCCACTTCATTTTTCCTCGTTCAGTAAGAAAACTTAAGAGGCCTCTTGCTTGGTTCCTCCTCTGTGATTAGGGTGTAAATAGGAAACACACACACTGCCCTGGCCGGTCAGGCTCGGCTGCTTGGAGCGTAGCCACATACACCAAAGGGTGTTGGGTTAGATTCCTGGTCAGGGCATGTGCAGGCGGTAAACTGATCAATGTTCCTCTCTCACAATGATGTCTCGATATCCATGTCTCTCTCTTTCCCCCACTTGCTTGCTCTTTCTCAAAAAAAAAAATTTTTTTTTCAATTAAAAAATATTCAGACTGCATATTTCCCTTTCCTAAATACAGAATCCTTGCAATATAGGATGGTGGACTTGGGATGGCACACATTGGAATGACTGAGGCAATAAAGCAGCTGGTGTACGAATGTCCAGGAAGAAAAGACCACTAAAGAGGCAGACATTAGAAGCTGCCCCCACTGGCTTTTCTGTTACTGACTAGTCACCCAGTGGAAAATGCGTGTGGTAATGAAATGCTTCTTTTCTGAGGCAGGCTTGTGAAGGGGCTAACCTCGCTGCACGATGTGGGCCAGGGGTTCTGATAGGCAGTCCAGACTCTCCACTCTCTGTTCTACACCCCAGAGGCCATGGCCATGCTGCAAAAAAGGGTTCTGATACTGGTGACAACAATGTTTCTAGGTCATTTGAGGAAAGTTTTTTAAGCTAAAAGTTCATGTTAAATGCTCAGTAGCAAGCTATAAAAAGTGCCTCTTCTCATCTGTGAGACAGAAACAGTAAGGCTGTGAGAATCACTAAAAAAAGGCCGACTCAGGAGGCAGAGGCAATGAAGGAGATCAGTTCTGCAGATCTACTATGCAAGAGGAGGCACTGCATTTCCCAAGGATGAGGGAGACCTGGGGGTGTGGGTGGAGACTGGAGGAATTCAGGCCTCCTGGGGACAGGAAGTCTGTGCCAAGAATGGGCTGGACTGCAGTGGCTAGATCAGGATTTCCCAGCTGAAATGTTACTGGAGCCACCACCTAAGTGTGCAGCACCTGCCTCTGCTGTGAGTTCCCACCTCTGCAGCACACACGCCTGTCCTGGCCCATTTAGTGGAGGCGGAAGCGGCTGGTGACTTAGCTGGGATGGGAGAGAGAGAAGGAAAAGCTCTGGCCTGGGATCAGAGCCCTGAGGGCTGCCTCTGCAGGGCGAGAAGGAAGGAGCTCTTTGGGGACTGCCAGGGGCAGTCACTGCAGCTCACGCTGAGGAGACCCCCCCCCCCCACACCCCCTCTGCTCTGTGGGGAGTCCTCAGAGGCTTTACATTTGAACTGGCTCAGGATTTTTGTGGACTGGTTATTTTTTTCCTCCACCTAATTTCAATAGGAAACCACTAAAATGAACTTCTAGTTAAGTACTGGCTAGACTCTGGCCTGGGGGTTGGGGGTGGAGAAATGACACATATTTTAGCTTTGGTTACAGCTTCTGGGCACTGAACTTTAGGAGAAACCACGAAAACCATCCAGATTCAAAGACTCCAAAGTTGTAAAGTCCTCAAAGCTGTTTCATCTGCCCTCCCAGGCAGGGGAACGTTTCCCTACAGCCGGGCTGACTCACCGTCCAGCTTCACACTCCATGTCATGTGGAAGCCATTGGTCACCAGGTAGAAATTCTTCACGTCCTCAGGCAGGGTACAGTTATTTCTCTAGAATCGCAAGAAAAGATCAGGTGAGGGCTGGAAAAGAGAGCACAGGGCTGTACCTCACAGCAACGAGGGACACTATGTATCATGGTTCGGATTCCCCCAAAAGGAAACTCTATTCGAGTCCAGGGTCAGAATGGCAACAAAGGAAGCTCCTTCAAAAGAAATCCAGAAATTAGTTGAATGATTCCTACATGTCAGGCAAACGAGAAAAAACTCAGAAAGCTACGTCAGAAGGGCTGATCACAAGCTCACTATAAAACACCCCTGGTGTGGTGCCTCTAACTTCTAGGTTCTTCCTGCAGTAGAGTTTGGATCACACATCTGACACCCCAACTTTTAAGACTTGCACTTGAGAGATAGATTCCCTAAAGCAGTGGTCGACAAACTGCGGCTTGCGAGTTGAGGTTTGCCGCTCTGTTGACTCATGAGTTTGCCGATCACTGACTAGACTCTCGATTCCAATAACTATAGGCTATTGTTGTTCCTTGTGATTAAGCCCCTATCCCAGTGGTCGGCAAACTCATGAGTCAACAAGAGCGGTAAACCGCAGCTCGGGAGCCACAGTTTGCCGACCACTGCCCTACAGCATCTAGCTCTGAAAGCCAATGGTTATAAGAGACTCACAAGGCAATTCTCAAAGGGCTCAGAGGAACTCCCAAGGCTATCCTCCCAGGGCCCAGTGCAGAACAGACTGAAACCAGAGCCTGTGGTGAAGGAGGCATATTTGCTTATCTTAAAACCTGCCTGAGGAGCAGGCTTCCAATTTAACACACATAATAGATGAGCCAATGGCAAGGCTGGCGATATCTTAATCTTTCCTTCTGCCTCACTCCAGGTGGCAGGTGTTTCTGGGAAAGGAGCCTGTGCACATCTGACACCCTGGCTTTTCCTAGCTGCTGCTCAGAGGACACACCTCTTGGTTGGCTGCTGCTGGTGGACAGCCACACTTACATTCCTGGGTCCCCCAGGACTGTAACACACAGAATAGCAGTTCTTAACTAACTGTATCCCCAAAGCACAGCTCAAAAGCAGCAGAATGAAGTGCTCAGTATTTCCTTAAAATAAGCCTATTTGTAGGTCTTAAAAGGTACAGCCTGAGGGTCAGGCTTATAATTTAACAACATGGAAAGTCCAATTGCAGTCCCTTCTAGAAATGGGGAGGACAGTGGGTGCCATATTCAATTCTTCCTCTCCCCTACCCCTGGTCCTTGGTACCTCTGTGCATGGAGGTTGTGCCCATATCTGGTGGCCAGCAGGGCTTGTGTTCACAAGGTCAATGGGATGGTAGCAAAGAAACACTTCTTAACAAAAAAGCCTATCTCCCAATCTTATCCTAAATAGTATTTCCAAAGTATTTGCATATTTTATTTATTTTTTAAAATACATTTTATTGATTTTTTTACAGAGAGGGAGAGAGACAGAGAGTTAGAAACACTGATGAGAGAATCATAGATCAGCTGCCTCTTGCACACCCCTACTGGGGATGTACCAGCAACCAAGGTACATGCCTTTAACCAGAATCGAACCCGGGACCTTTCAATCTGCAGGCTGATGCTCCATCCACTGAGCCAGACCAGTTTCGGCAGTATTTGCATATTTTAAATGCAGCTTTCATTCAGTTGTTTCTAGGTGCTCAATGAAATCCTCCCCTTTGGGACACTGATAGACCTTGGCATACCCTCAACTACTGGGAGCCATAAGGACAAAGTGGACTGGAAAATCATATACATATGTCAAAAAACCAAGAGCTAGGACAGGATTGAACAATAAGGTTCATCCCTTACCTGAGGCCACTCCTTCAAGTCTGAAAGAGGTGGCTATTTCATCTAATGCACAGAAACCAACACAGAGAGTCAAGCAAATGAAAAAGTAGAGGAATATGTTCCCAATGAAAAAATACGATAAAACAAATCACTTCTTTAATGAAAAGAAATGATTTACTGATAAGAACTCAAAATAATGGTCATAAAATGCTGAATTCAGGAGAAAAATATTTGAAATGAGAATTTCAACAAACAGAAAATATTAGTACCAAAAAGAAATCACAGAGGTGCAGAGTACAATTAATAAAATGGAAAAAAAGTATCTATAGAAGGTTTTAACAGCAGGCTAGATGAAGTGTTAGAAAGGATCAGCAAACTAGAAGACAGGGTAATGGAACTCATCCAATGAGATCAGCCAAAAGAGAAAGAAATGAAAAACACTAAAGACAGCTTAAGCGACATGGGACAATATCAAACAGACACTTTTGTATAATAAAGGTCCCAGAAGGAGAGATAAAGGGGCAGAAAGCTTATTTGAAGAAATAACGACTGAAAACTTCCCTAACCAGGGAAAGGAAACAGACATCTCAATCCAGGAAGCTCAGAATTCCAAGAAAGATTAATCCAAACAGACATTATAATTAAGTTGTGAGAAGTTAAAGGAGTTTATCTTAAAAGCAGCAAGAGAAAAAACTACTTGTTACAAACAAGAGAACCCCCATTAAGGCTATCCAGGAGGTTTTTAGGCAGAAACTTGACAGGCCAGAAGAGAGCGACACAAAATATTGAAAGTGCAGGGGGGTGGGAGAAAGTCAACCAAGAACATTCTACTGGGCAAAGCTGTCCTTTAGAATTGGAGGAGAAACAATAGCTTTCCAAACAAAAGCTAAAGGTATTCATGACCACTAGACCAACTTTTTAAGAAATGTTAGAGAGACTTCTTTCAGTTGAAAGGGCACTAATTAGCAACAGAAAAACATATGAAAGTATAAATCTCACAGGCAAAGGTAAATGTATAATTAAATTCAGAAAAACCTAATGTCATGGTGATAGACTGATTACTTATAAATCTAGTACAAATGTTAAGACAAAGGTAGTAAAAATAACTATACAGTAATTTGTTAATGGATATACAAGATAAAGAGGTACAAACTGTGATATTTTTTAAAATGTGTGGTAGGGAGGGAGAGCAAAAATAATAACAGAGCTTTAGAATACATTCAAATTTAAGTTATTATCAACTTAAAATAGACTGTTATATATTTTTTTATGTAAACCTCATGGTGACTACAAAACAAAAGCCTATAGTAGATATATAAGAAATAAAGGGAAAGCAATCTAAGCATATTTCTTCAGAAAATAATCAAATCACAAATGAAGAGAGCAAGAGCACAAGAAACAAAGGAATTATAAAACAGCCAGAAATCAATGAACAAAATGGCAGTAAGTCCAAACATAATCAATAATTACTTTAATGTAAATTCTCCAATCAAAAGGCAAAAAGTGCCTGAAAGGATTAAAAAGCTCAGTTTAGCTCAGTGGATAGAGCATTGGCCCCTGGACTGAAGGGTCTCGGGTTCCATTCCAATCAAGGGCATGTACCTTAGTTGCAACTCAGTCCCTGCCCTCTCTCACATTAATGTTTCTCTGTCTCTCCCTCTCTCTTTTCCACTCTCTCTAAAAATCAATGGGAAAATATCCTGGGGTGAGGATTAACAAAAAACAAAATAAAAAGCACAAGTCCAAATTATAAGTTGCCTACAAGAGATTCACTTCAGATATAAGGACAACGTGAAAGTGAACATGAAAGTGAGCGTGAAAGGGTGGGGGCATGGCCTCAGGTCCTCTGGCCTGGTACCTGGGCAAGGGGGGTGGGTGGGTGCGGCCTAAGGTCCCCCAGCCTGGCGATAGGGAGAGGGGCATGGCCTGAGATCCCCCGTCAAGCCCTGCTGTCAAGACCCACCAGGCAAGGGGCACAGCATCAGGTCCCCTGCCCCGGGCCCAGTGCCACACAGCCTCAGGTCCCCCGTGATTGCTCATTAAGGCTTATTACGGGAACTCAGCCTTCACTGTGGGCACAGCCATTTTGTTGCGGCATGACAGTCAATTTGCATATTCCCTCTTTATTAGATAGGCTATCTCAATAAAAAGAGTCTATTAGAGCAGTCACCAGTTTGATACCTACTTGTCTCACCTGATAAGGCAGAGCAGGTATCTGCTCTGCGTGATAATGCCTCAGTGGAGAGCTAGCTGCTTGGAGAAGGGGCTGCTCAAGGAAAACAAGCTGAGGCGGAGACTCAGAGGAGCCTAGTGTGAGAGGAGATCTGTGGCAAAGTCTGGGTGATGTCGGAACAAGGCAATCACTACCAAAACTTCAGACCCATGCTCATAATTACTTTCTGAAGCAAATTATTGGATAAATGTGAACCTTTATTTTTAAAATTGATTTCAGAGAGGAAGGGAGAATCATTGATTGGTTGCATCCTGCATGCCCCCTACTGGGGGGGATTGAGCCTACAACTGGGCATGTGCCCTTGTCCAGAATAGAACCTGGGACCCTTTAGTCCGCAGGCTGATGCTCTATCCACTTCTAGAACATTTAATGCAGTGAAATGAATAGTTCTGAAAGTAAAAAAAGTACAATCAATAAGATATAAATAAATATTTTATATGGACAGAAAATCATCCAAACTGGTGGTAGAACAAGCTTAGTATAATTTCAGGAGGTACTAGGAACATACTCTAAATTCTAAATTACTCATATCTGTGCACATGCCCGACCATGTCTCTAGCCAATCAAACCCTTACTTAGTATATTATTTGGACTACAGGGCTTGCCTCCTCCATGGCATATCGTCTGTGCTTTCAGAGAGGAAAAGTGAGCATCCAGAATGCCTTTCCCCCTGCCCCAACCCTAGCACAGGAAGCCTACAGATACTAGTGTCCTGACAAAGTTCATGTGCCTTCTATCCCTCAGAAGGCCAGTATCTGCTGTGATTTTGGTCACTAGAGCCATCTAGTGGTAAACACAGGAAACCACTGCCTATGAGCCTTTCCTAACCTGGATTCTATGAGATCTCAGCTGAGAAGAGCTGCTGGCATTGGTAAACTTTAAGTTATGCTGAAGAATTCTAGGAGCAGAGATTATAAAATTTATTATGGTATTGATTTCACTGAAGAAAAAATTGGCATTTATGCCAATATTTAAAAAATTATTCAGATGATGAAAATAGAAAAAAATCAGCTAAATCTATTATTTAATACATTTGAAATCTACACTAATAAAAGAGAAACGGGCAAATTACCATCACTCCACTATGCTACCAGCCAGAGTGATTATGCAAATTAACCTGAAAGGCTGGCGGCAGCCTGCCCACCCGCTGCTGCTCCCGAGAATTTGGGTGCTCTTTTTTTTTATCACCACTGAATGTCCAGGACTCGGCACCAAGGACAATGCCTGGCCCATTTTAAAAGCTTTAAACTTTTGTTGAATAAATGAATGGAAGTTCTGAGGAGGGCTGGGAAGCAGTAGCTATGAACCTGGTTAGCACTTCTCCATAACACTAACCACACGTTCTGCTGGCATGGGGATTGACATTTACTTTTTCCTCTCCTTGCTGGAGTTTTAGTTTTGTTGTATAAACTCTGAATGTTCCACTGCCTCCACATGACAGGCTCGGAGGCGATGACCCATGCTGGGATATGGCATAGAATGGAAGAGAGTGTTAAGTGGCCTGAACAGAAGAGAGAGAAGGGTGAACTCTACCTTGAAGACAGTTGTGGACTTAGATAAGAAGAGTTTCCTGCCCTAATCTTTCCTTCTCAGGAGCACTTAATTTGACCTTTGTTGGAAAATGAGAATTGTACAGAGCAACACTTACTTGTTCCCATGAAGAGATCATGTGACGTTCAGCAGGTGGCTTTTCTGTGATGGTCACCTCTGTCACACCTGGAGATGATTCTGAAAGAGGAAAATAAGAGCCCGTAGAGCTGCTATTGGCCGCTCTCAGACATTTCTGTGACAGACAGGTGAATGTCCTCAGATCAGAGAAAGTGGACTCCACCTGACTTAGAAATCATGGCCAAATCAAAGCCAAATTTACTCTTGATTGTAGGGTTTCTTTTGTTTGTTTTTGTGGATTATGATTTTTTATATAGACAAGGTCATGGCCGAAACCGGTTTGGCTCAGTGGATAGAGCTTCGGCCTGCAGACTGAAAGGTCCCGGGTTCGATTCTGGTCAAGGGCATGTACCTTGGTTTCGGGCACATCCCCGGTGGGGGGTGTGCAAGAGGGCAGCTGATTGATGACTCTCTCTCATCGATGTTTCTAACTCTCTATCCCTCTCTCTAAAAAAATCAATAAAATAGAAAAAATAAATAGACAAGGTCATGCTATCTACAAATAGCAATAGTTTATTTCCTTCTTTCCAGTTTGTATGTCTTTATTTTCTTGGCTAATTGAACTGACTAGATTCTCCAATTCAATATTGAACAGAAGTGGTAAAAGGGGAATTATTATTTATGATGCTTAGATAACTACTTCTAGGTTTTGAGTGTTTCTTTTTTAAAACTTCTCATTTTTTGAGTGTTTCCTTTTTAAACTAAAAGTGTTGGATTTTGTCAAGTGCTTTCTTTACACCTACTGACATGATTATGTGGTAGTTGTCATTTATTCTATTATCAAGGTGCACTATATTGATTTTCATATGTTCCACAAGCTGCACATTCCTGGGCTAAATCACAGTGGGTATATAATATTTTTAATGTTGGTGAATTTAGTTTGATAGTATTTTGTTGAAGATTTTGAAATGTTTGTTTTTGAACAGAAATGTTGCAGTTGTGAAGTTATTTCATATTTTTAGGAAGGAGATGGGGGGTTGCTTACTTTAGCTACTTGGTTTTAAAAAATCCTATTAATATTTTATCTTTTCAAAACAAAATACGAACGTGAAAAAATAAAAGTATAATTGATTTTCAATTTGTGATTAACTTGGAATTATGAGCTTTGATTAAATTTATAAAGAGAATGTTTAATGGGAGGCTAGATTCATCGTACATTTAATTACCAGAGTTGTTTAATTCCTTAGGTAGGTTTAGCTTTGAACTACCAATTTGCCAAACATCTGAAAAGAGTAATAGAATACATTAACAATACAAATAGAATTTAAAATGTTTACAGTCATTTAATTACTCAGGTCTTTACACTGAATTGACAGTTTAAAGGATTATTTAGTTAGCTGGACTTAAGTGGGTTAAACATTAATCAAAAGAAAACTTACTTACTGAAAAAGTCCTAGATTTATAAAGAGAATAATGAAGCAAGCCTGTAAAATAGCCAAGACCTTCCTAACCAGGAGTGTAAGAAACAGCAGAAGTCTGCATAACAATGAGACAGGAGATAGGTGGTGGTCATTAGATTTCTCCTTGCCCCATTCGATAATTTCATTGCTAAAATTTATCAATTCTCCCAACCACAGCTTGGTGTTTCATATCTCATTGACTGTTTCCGGCGCTGGGAAATACAGTTCCTATCCTCATAGACTTCTATTACAGAAAAGAGACAGGCAACTTTAAAAATCAACCAGATAAATACACAATTCCAAGTCGTGGTAAAGCCATAAGGATTTTTTAAAAAGGTAGGCTAAGGGACAAGAGAGTGATAAGTGAATCAGAGAAGGCTTCACGGAGGTGGTGCTCTGTAACCACAGATCTGAATGACACGAGGGAGATTTAGGGGGAAAAAAGGCAATTTCAGTGACGGGTCTCACAAACTGCAAAGCTTAACGTGTTTATGGTACAACAAGGCAAAAAAAAAAAAAAAAAAAAAAAAAAAAAAAAAAAAAAAAAAGGACAGAGAAACCAGAAAGACCGATGAGGGAAATTCACGAGGGCCTGGGTCATGGGTTCAGTATTTGGATTTTTATTATACTAGTCAATGTGACGGCAGAACACCCCATCACGCTGCTCTGCGGGCTTAGTCTGCCTTTCTCTTTCTTGGTTATCTCACTACATCCCACGGGTCTTGCAAAAATCCAGCGTCACGTGTGGCCAATGTTCCTCCAGCCCCAGATGAGGCCAATCACCCACTCCTGTGTGCTGCTTCGGAACAATAGGTCGCCGACCTCCTCTCACACTTCTGGGGCCCTCGTCTTTAGATCCCCCTCTCCCCCCAGGAATGTGTTCGCTTTCCCCCACCTTTGTAGTCCCAGTGACATCGCGCTGGCTGCTAACTAACGGTGCGATCACGGACACGCCCATTCGGTAGAGCCAGGCGCTGCTGCCCCCGAGGCGGCTGCAGCCTTCTCCCAGCTCAGGGCTCTCCGGGGACTCCCTCCGCCCAGAACTCACACATGTCAGGTGCCCGCTGCTCCTTTGCAACGTTCCTACCCACCTTAGCGGGGCCTGAGGGGCGACCTCGGGTGCGAGAACCTCCTCCGGGCTTCCCAACTCTGCATCCCTACCCCCCTCACCCCCCTGCCAAGCTCCCCCTTTCCTCCTCGGCAACGCGAGTCCCAGCAGCAGCGATGCCCACCGGCGTGCAAGGTGATGCCGCCCCCGCGCCGCAGGGCACGCCGCCCCCCCCCCCACTCACCCAGGATGCGCGTCACCCCCAGAGTCAGCTTCTCCAGGTGCGGCTTGCAGGAGCCCGCGGGCTGGGCCGAGGCGGCGGGCGCAGGCTCCTCCATGGCTCGCGAGCCCGCTCCGCGCGCGGCCCGGGCAGCCGCGGGGCTGGAGCGGGCGAGCGGGGAGCGCCGCAGGGCCGGGCCCCGCCCCCGCGCCTCGGCCATCGCGTTCACGGCATGCCGGGAGTTGTAGTCCTCGGCGCGGAGGCCGCGGCGGCGGCGGCGGCGATGGGCGGCCCGGGCTGCTCAGCGAAGAGGAGATCCGCGGGGCGTTCGTGCCCCCGGCCCAGGCAGGAGCTTCCCTCCGACCCGCCGGGGCTCGGCGACGACGCCTCCGCCCGGACCCTCCCGGCCCGCCGGGGCCGGCCGCGCAGAAGGGGGCGGGCCTCCGCGCCCAGCGGCCAATGGGAGCGGCGCCTGGCATCCGGGGCGGGGCGGCCCCGGCCCGACGCCCCGAGTGGCGGTTGTTTCAAGATGGCGGTCGCGGCGCGCCCCTCCCGCCCCGGCGCCGGCACCGCGGCGTTCTGGAGCCGAGACTGTATCCTTTCCCCGCCGGGCAGGGGGCGCCGGCGCCGTCCCGGGGCGGGGACGCGACCTGGGACTGTCCGCGTGGGACTGGGCGGAGGGAGAGGGAGAGGCGCGGCGGCGTTCACCCCGGGGGCGGGGCCGTGCGGTCCGGGCGCCCCGCTTCCCGCCTGGCAGGGGAGTGAGGTGGCATCGCGCCCGCCCGATCGGGCGGCCAGGCTGGGGTTCCAGGTGTGGGGCTGAGTCCAGATGTTCCCCGGCCCTGCGTGGCGGTGAGCTCAGGGATGCTGGCCCGGGGCCGGGGCACAGCCCTCGGTGACCTCTGGCCGGATGTGCGCAGCGAGCTCATGGAGGAGGAGGGAAGGGGGTGTTGGGTGGCCCCGGGGTCTTTTTTTGTCTTGTCTTAGCCTTGTCCGTAGTCTCCGCTGCTGAAAGGGATGTCAGGATCTTGTTGGATTCCAGGCCTGTCAGGGATGCCTGACACTGGGACTTTCCTACAGGCGTGGGGCTCGCTGTCCGCGGGGGCTGGTCCAGTGGCGCCGGCTGTGGGATTAGCTTGCACATCGTGGTGCCTGGAGGTGGTGTCACCTGCGCGGAGTTTGCAGGTCACCACAAGCGGGATTCAAGTTCTTGGGTGGTTGTTCGGGGTAGAGCTTTTCCTCTCGGGATGGTCTCCCCCCCTAGATGCATCCTCGGTGGCTGTGATGAGATGTGTGTGACCTGAGTGGTTCTCTCCCAGGGTTGGGCAGCCTGTCCCAAGCCGAGCTCTGGTCCTGATCGTTTACTCCCTGTGCCTTAGAAGAGGGTCAGTTGGGAGAGCAAGGCCATCGGTGCATTGGGTGCCTGGCGAGGGCGAGTGGTTGTATCTGGTTTTTTGCTTGGACCGGTGATAGCATTGTTGGAGGCATCGCTGCTAACTTTGTGGATTCTTTGCACGGGCCACTGAGCTCCCAGGGGAACTTAACAAAATTATATGATCAGTTCCCCTTGAGTTACTAGGATTTACAAGGCGTATTTTTGCATCCCGTGCTGGTCCGTGCTTAGTGTTTACCCCTTGTCTCAGATAGGTTAGTGAGATTCAAAGTTGTACACGCGCTGTGGATGAAAGCGCACTAGTGCGCGGTGCGGATTAAGTATCTTTCCTCCACCTGTCAATAAGGATGCCAAGAGTGTGTGCCTTGAGAACTGAGCTGAATGAAGAAGGCAGGAAACTGGGATGAGCCTTTTCCTCTTGAAACACTGCCTCTGTGTTATACAATTTCGTGATAGAGGAGATTTTTGAAGTTTATTAACTTATAATGTGCTTCTTCAGTTTAATCACATTCATCGCCACATATGACCAGTGGTGCAGTTCTGATGCAGAGTAAATGGTTTGGGGGAAAAGGGAGACAGTCTGTGACAGTGGTTCTGATTAAGTTAATGGTAAATGAATCTATGTTCTTGGACTCAGCAACCCTCTACCCTCACTTAATTCATGTGGTCCTATTGCTCCTCTTTTCATATAGAAGTCACATAGCTTCCCTTTTCTCTCAAATTCTCCCTCACTCGAAATATTTATATAAAATACTACATAAATTGAACTTAAAGCATTGAAATTGTATGGGGGAAATGATGGTGATTACATTGTATGGAAATTCAGGTATTTGAAAGGGATTTCAAGTTTATCAATATCATGTTTCCCCCAGGCTATCTCACATTTAGCCTCAAATATTTTTATTTCATATTTCCATAGGACTGAAAAGCAATATCAAATGTGGACATGTTACTGATTTTCACTAAAAAAAAAAAGCATTAGTGATAGTTATGAATCATTTGGTTTAGTGATGTGCCTTTGTATCTTAATCTCTTCTTGTCAGAGACTTCCCAGACCACCCCAACAACTTTATAGTAGAACTTTCAATAGGAAAAAAACTAAAAAGTGTGTATCTGTAATCTGGAATTCTTTTCTCACTATTGAAAGATTGTTCAGTGCTTCCCCTAAACAACTAGAGAAGTGCCCTGACTGGGAATCCAACCCTGACCTCCTGGTTCATAGGTTGATGCTCAACCACTGAGCCACAATGGCCGGGCTATTTGTTTCTTTTCTTAGGAAACAAAGTTATTAGTTGACAGTAAGGATGAAGAAGTGGTGTTAGATTTGAGCAAAGAGGAAGCTATAATATACTTGGTTAGCTTCCAAATCAAGGTGCGGCTGAATGGGATAGTTGGTTTTTCCAGTTGTGAGCAAGTTTATTTGTGGATGATTTAGGGAAATGTAGTAGTCTTTTTTCCAGGACTCAGTTATGTTAGTCCACAGGCCATCCTTGGAGAATAGTCTGCACATTCATCATTATTGTATCTTCTAATTGAAGACTGTCATATGGAACAATTGGAACAATTCCTGAATCATCTTGAATTCCTGCCTCCCCCTCTCCCCAGGTTCTTTATTCCATATGTATATTTCCAACAGTAAATAATTAAATATGTATTGAGCACCTACTGTGTGTGCTAATCCCAAGAGATTAAAAAAAAAATCAGTTTTTGCTGTCAAATGGAGCCTGCACAATTTCATTTTGTAAGGTCTTTTATAGCTTGGATGTTAGTGAGGCTATAAATTCTCTCTCTGCTCCTGTGTTAGTTGCTCTCAGTTTTCTAGGAGTGGTGGTGTCTAATTTTTGTATGCTTACTTGTCTTATGTGCTCTTAAAATGCCAGCTCCATCCCTGAGATTTGAGGGGATTTGAAGTTTAGGGGCACTAGTTATCAGCCAAAACCTTGAAGCTGTGAGAGTGTTTATGCTGCTCAGGAAAGCGATTAGAAACCAGCTGGCAGCTCAAGCAGCAGACATCATCTTTGCATTCCCAAATTCCTATGGGGATCCTAGGTATAGCTAATCAGCATTTTCTGAGAAGATTCCATTACAAAGGTTGATCGTGAGCTGAAATACATGGACTTTTTGAACATGTTATTAAATCTACTGTTTTACTCCATCCTTTGCCTGGAATGAAATAGCTCGTAATTGATTTGTCTGGAAATCTTGGAAAAGAAAACATTTTATCAAATAACAGAGAACTTTGGAATGTTGTCAGTCAGTGGAAAAAATGTTCAGTTGCTTCTTTCTGGCAAGTGTTATCAAACTGTACATATATCTGGATTTAGATATGGTTCTGATTAAAATTTTGTTTCTGGAAGAATGCTTTTTTCTTGTAATGGTTGTCTTCTAAAGCAGTGTTATTATCTAAATTTCTCCTTTTAAAATTAACAATACTGTAGTTCTTTTTGTCTTGAGTTTCTTCCACTTGTTAAATAGTAGGACCTCGTGGGACATTACACATATGCACTACGAAGAATAGAAAATGCCTCTGTGTTTGTATGATTGACTTGCCCTCAAACAGTGTTTGTTTTTCAAAGATAAAGCTCATTTTGAAATTATTTATTCATACCTAGAATAACTTGTCAGTTTTCCAGTAATGAGTGAACTGGGCACTGAACTCTTGGTTTACAAAGGCAATGGAATGAAAGCACAGCAGAATTTATAGTATAGGATATCTCCCTTGGGAATAAGCATGAATAAAAGTTTTATAGAACAAGGCCTTCCAAAACTTTTATAAAATATATAGTTGTGATTATATAAAAAGAACTTTAAAATAATATTAACTTTGCTGCATTAATTCACTTATTTTGCTTTCTAGTGTTACTTTTAAAAACTAAATTCCAAGGTCAAATAGAAATTACAAATTATAACAAAAGTACAGAACCATAGTAGCATTTGGATGATGGCAAATGTTTCCTAGTATTTTCCTTCATGTCTTTTTCTGCATAGTTTCTGATGAAGAACAATCAGTAGTATATGTGCCAGGTATGTTAATTTGTTAAGCTTCATTTGCTTCTTAAGTGTTAAGAGGAAAATGAGACATTAGGATACTTTTTCAGTTATAACTGAATGCGGAACAGTTCATTAGAACCTAAAATAAAATTTAAAAAATTAAAGAAACTCTATTAAGGTTCAAAACACTGCCTTATACTTTATGTATTAGGGAGCAAGAGATTTTCTTATTATCATTATTTATTTATTTATTTATTTATTTATTTATACAAATAAGAGCCTAAATTTAATATTTCAAATAAAAGTGTGGAAACTTGACATAAAGTTTATGCGACAGATTCTTTTAAGTTTTACAGATGAGTAGTAAAACTGGACTATTGAAAGTACCCCAATTATGTGACAAATCAGGTTTTTAATTTCCCTAAGTGAGTGTATTTGCGGCATGTTTTATTTATTGGTTTCAATATGACATATGAATGTGCCAGCACCTTTTAAAAATATTTCAGTTGAATCTTAATATATTCAAAACATATTTTTTTCATGATTCATTTTTAATTAAGAGGGCCTTAAGATGAAGTAAGAGTTTTCCATATTACACCCTATAAAATAGAGGATATCAATGATGAAGACTTGATTGGGGTTGGGGGAGCACTTTAGAGAATGAGAAGTTATAATTTTGAAATCTTCTTTGATGCAAATCCTTAGGGATCTCTACAGAAGGAAATATCAGATCAAGACACAAGTCAATGAGTCCAAAAGCTAATGTTAAAGTTAAGACATCCAAGGTGACCGCTGCTTCAATCTCCATGGAGTCTTTAAAAGGTGCCGGAGATTTCGTAAGTGAACAGGTCAGTAATTTATTTGTTTTGTTCTCATTTTACAGTTTTTAATAAATGTTGGTCAGTTACTAATTTTTCTTTGTGCACTGTCAATTGATGGCTGTTGGTGCCAGTTCGATGCCAACAGGAATTCCTGATTTGGGTTGCAATGAAGAAAAAAACAATAATGGGAAACAGCTCAATTGTGATGCATCAGAGCTATGAAAACAGTATGGCTGTGAAGTAGTAGTGGGCAGGGTGGCCCTGGGGTGAGGCCCTTTTGGGAGAGGCAGTTCTGCTCTATTTTGTCTTTTCTACCTGCTTAGGTCCACTTCACCCTGCGCCAGTCGCCTCTGCTCTGCTCTGGTTAGTCATCTTCAGGGTCTCACCTCCAGCCTGAGAAATGCAGTTTTCAATCTTAGGTGGAAATGGAAAGTGCATTCCCAGAGCCAGAAGGGAGCTGGTTTAAAATGACTCAAGTCCCCATCTGGTCCTGATTGATCTGTCCTCATGCAAATGAGGACTCTAAATACTCACAGTTTTGGTCCAAAAAGTCCTGTCCTCATTGGTTAGGATGGAGCTGCTCTATTGGGTGGTGAAGCTGTTGAAGGTGATACAATAGGTCACTTGAGTAAGCCTGGGATGCTTCAGCCCACTTGGTTAGAACAGGATTCCAGGAACTCCTCTATGTGGGGTGGCTCAGATGGCAGAAACTCAGCGCAGGAAGGCAGTTCAGTGAAGGAGGCAGGAAGCTTAGTGCAGGCTTCTCCAAGAAGTGCACTTTGTATGTTCAGAAATGACTGCTAGGCTCCACCTTTTTATTTGTTTGTTATTGTTTTACGTTAAGCTCAGTTAAGCCACCATGAGTTCTCCTAGGTAGGGTATCTTCTTTCTCAGGGACCACATGACCAGCACTGATGTATGTGGGTAGAAAAGTCCTTGAAAGAACATTAGATCATCTGTACACATTCTGAAAAGCTACAGAGGATTCTTGCATGTTTTGATGATGCTTGCTACGAATATAAAGCGTTTAGCTCCAAAATATTTGGGCTTGCTTTAAATCTTAATTAAGAAAATGTATTATCTTGGTATGTCTCAAAAGACCTACATTCTGATCTGTGTGGAGTTAGTAAATCAAATCCACAACAGCTGTATTTTGGTTAGGTGTCCTTTATGATTTCTGTTCACTTGAATTTGTTAGTTAATGATGAATAAGCCCTAAAATATAAGAAAGGTGTTTTTATTAAAAGAAAATTAGCTTGCATTATTATTGTTGTTGTTATTTTCTTCACTTGGAAAAGAATATCATAAAGACTTTTTCTGTAAAGAGCCGGATAGTCAATACTTTAGCCTTTATGAGCCACATAGTGTCTGTCTCAAGTATTCAGCTCTGTCACTGTCTGTGTGAATAGAGCCGAATAGGTAAGTATCAGTGTGTAGATGAATGTTCATTTTAATGGACAGGGTGGGTCAGATTTGGTTGTAGTTGTTGGTTACTGACCGCTGTCAAAATATATTTGGTTTTTAAAGAATATTTAATTTTATAATTTTTTGAAACCTTATATAAATGAGCTTATACTTTGTATAGTATGTGATTTGCATTTTTACTCAATGTTATATTCATGAGATTTATTTATGTTGTATATAGTTATATTTCATTTTTTCACTTAGGATTTCAGTTAGGATTTAGTCATTTATCTTTAAATACTTGCTACATTGGTGCTGAAGAACTGAAAAGGCAAAAAGAAAATACTCAGTTATCTCTAAGAAGCAGTTACCATTTCTAGGGCTGGGAGAACAGATGGGACAAGTTGGAATTATTAAAGCGTGGAAGCTTTGAGGATGAATCCCTCAGAACTGGAACTTGGACCCTGGTGATGGGGAACCAGCCTGACTGCTGTCCCTGAGGAAACAAGAAAAAGGAAGGCTGGTTCCGTGAGGGCACGAGAAATTGCAGAATAGAATCAGCTGTTCTTGCCAGGCTGAGACTGGCGGAAAGGAAGCAAATAGAAAGGGATGTGTCCTTTCTCTCTAACAAGCCCTGATCTCCCTCTAGTTGGCAGAGTTTAAGAGAGTCACGTGGCAAAGAAGAAATGAGGTGTCCAGAGGCTCAGCCCCAGCATCACAACCAGAGCGTGGAAGGGTGGATTTGAAAATGAAAGTCAGTAGCATAGCAACCAGTACCTATGGCATTCCATTGAATAAATATACCACAGTGAAATCATTCTCTAGAGCAGTGTTTCCCAAACTTTTCTCATGATGAGAATCACCTGGTGGAGTTGTTAAACTAGAGATTCCTGAATCCCAACTAAGAAGTGCTAAACTAGAATTTTTGGGAACATATAGGTAAAATTGTGTATACTGCTCTAGTGAATAGTGAATAAAACCTGATTCTCAGGTTTTTGCTGTTATTGGTAAATACAATGCTGCTAAAATCTTTTGTTTGTTTTATATTTACTGCACCTGTACTGAAATGTCTTTTCATGGGTTAGCAGCAGCTTCTCCCATTGTGAATCCAGTGATATCATTTCACATTCTGTTAGCTTTGTCAGTCATTTGCACTGCTAACCCCACACTTTTCTTGAAACTTTTTCTTTTCTTTCTCCCACAATATATTATGCTTCCGATTCTCCTCTTGTTCTTTTAGACAGACTTTTTCTTCCCCCTTGGATTTGTAGATGCTTTTTAAAAAATAATATTTTCTTAATTTTAAGGAAAATTTTACAACAAAGGTAAATGAAAATAATAAAAATCTAAACATCCTCCATAATATCATATAGCTCAGTTTTAAATCTTAGTTTTTTTCTGACTTGAGCCAGACCCACATTTCCGACTTTCTACCTAAACATTTCTATAGGCATGTCCTCCTGGTATCTTAAATTGGCCTGATGCATCTAAAACCAAACTTATTTTCTTTTCTTACCATTCCTTGCTCATTTTCTCTTCTCTTCTCTTTCCTGTCTTTGGCTCTCAGTATTTCCATGTTTCATTTTAAGGGTCTTGGATTATTCTTGACTTCCAGAAATAATTGGGCTGACCTATTTTGCAGTTGCATACATGTCAAGGATTATACTTCCTTCCTTTTACATGTTACCTCCAGTTCCCTTGTGACTCCCCGAGTTTCATGGTTTAAAAATCCTGTTAATAATGTCAAGAATTTTTTATAGCATGGAGACAGGATAGTACAGTGGTTAAAGCACAGACTCTGGAACTTGGTCTTGATTCTTAATACTAGACAAGATAAATATCCTCACTTTAAAATAAGAATACCTACCTATTAGCATTATTTGCAGAAATAAGATGGATTAATAAGTGTAAAGTACTTAGACTATTCCTGGCAGGTAGTAAGCACTAGATATTATTAGCTATTTAAGATTATTATTATTATTATTATTATTAACTCTTTGGCCTAGAACCCTTTGGAATGAACCTCGGGTTATTGAGAGGCTAGAACAGGTGCAGCTGCTGCCAACCGTAGTTTTAAGCTGGGCTGTGATGTAAGAAAGGTTCTCAGTATCTTCCATTATCTTCCATTAGGTGTTTTTTTCTGTAGCACTCAACCAAGGGAAAGTTGTTTTTTAAAATATCCCCTAGTATTTAGGCAGGGACATTCCTGCTTTGAGTTCTTTCTATCTGCTTTTCTGTGTAAATTTCATGATGTCCCCTGACGGGCAGACAGTGCCTTAGCCTGTTTTGAGTTCATAGTCAGTTTTAAATGAAACAGGCCACTAGTGTTTCCACAAGATCAAGGTATCTAGCAAATTTCACCTCTGTACTTATTTTAAGAAATTTATTGAAGAGTCTTAAAATTGTTTTTAGTAAAGGTTAAACGAAAAATTTTTTTTTCTGTTCCAGAATTTCTGCAAGGGAGGAATGAAGAGTGCATCATTAAAGGATTTATGTCTTGAAGACAAAAGACGCATTGCAAATTTAATTAAAGAACTGGCCAGGTGAGACAAACTGTATATGAGATGCATTGTTATATAAGAGAGAAAATTTAAGAACTTTAGAACACATAAATTTCATTTTCCTCTCTTGATTATATGTCATTATATAGTGTGTCAAAAATTATATTTATATGTTTTAATTCAATGTAATATAATTATTACTTTTTTGTATTATTTTGAAATAATTTTAGGCTTATAGAAAATTTGAAAAAATATTGGGAGAAAGAGGAATGAGTACTTTTTGATAGGATGAAATGTTCTAAAATTATATTTAGTGTTTGCAGAACTCTAAATATACTAAAAACCATTGAATTGTACCCAATGATTGAACTTTATTATATGTAAGATATCTCAATAAATCTCTTAAATGGTATAGAAGGCTTTTATACCTTTCACATAACTTTTTCTAAATTTATTACCCTGAATAAATAATTCAATTGTCAAAAATTAAAATTAGTCCAATAATATTAATTACAGAGTATTCAGATTTCACCAGTTTTTTTCATTAGTATATTTTTTCCTCCTCCAGTATCACATTTTGTGTTCAGTTTTCATGTTTCCTTGGTCTTCTTCATGTGTGTCCTTGCCTTCCATGACTTTGATACTTTTGAAGAATACTGGTTATCTATTTTGCAGTGTTTGTTTCAATTTGTTTTTTTCAGGGTGTGTGTGTGATTTTAAGTATGATATTACCTGTAGATTTTTTAGAGATGCTCTTCATAAAGTTGAGGGAGTATTCTTATATTCCTACTTTTATAAGAGGTTTTGTTATGATTGTGTGCTAGATTTTGTGGAACACTTTTTGAGCCTATTTTAATGTGAGATTATGCATTTTCTTCTTTAGCTGTTGATATGGTGGATTATACAAATTGATTTCTGAATGTTGATTTTGCTACCTGTAAAAATCTCAGTTTTTATCATAGTTTTTATACATTCGTAATTTTGATTTTCTTATTATTTTGTTTGGAATTTGTACATCGATGTTCATGAGAGTAATTTGTCTATAGTTTTTTTTGTTTGTTGTTTTTTTTTTTTTTTTTTTTTTTTTTTTTGCTTAGTCTGTTTTTAGTATCATGGTAATACTAGCCTTATACAATGAATTGGGAAGAGTTCTATTTTCTAGGAGAAATTGTATAAAATTGGTTTATTCTTTTGTAAATATTTTATAGAATTCTCCAGTAAAATCATCTGGGCCTGGAGCTTTCTTTTAAAGAGCTTTTTAATTACAAATTCATTTTTTTTAAATGGTTACAAGATTATTCAAGCTGTCTATTTTGTCTTGATTGAGTTTTGGGAGTTTGTGGTTTTTGAGAATGGTCCCATTTTCCTAAGTTGTCAAATTTATGAACATGAAGTTGTCTGTGGTATTCTCTTATCTTTTTAATGACTGCATAGCCTGTAGTGCTTCATTATGATATTATTGATTTGCACCTTCTCTCTTTTTTAATTTTGTCAGCCTTGTTAGGTTTATCAATTTTATTGATTTTTTTTCAAAGAAGCAGCTTTTTGTTTTATTGATTTTTCTCTATTTTTTTCTGTTTTCAATTATATTGATTTTTGCTCTTATCTCTATTTCCCTCCTTCTGTTGCTGTGGATTTATTTTGTTCTTTTTCTTGTTATTTCTTAAAGTAGAAACTTAGTGCTAAAAACTTCTCTCTCGTTATTGCTTTTAATGCTTCCCACATATTTGATTTTTGTATTTTCATTTTTATCCAGTCCTGTGTATTTTTTAAAATCTCTTTTGAGACTTCTTCCTTGACCCATGTATTATTTATTTAAAACTTTGGTGTGTAAAAGTCAAAGCAAATGGAGAAAGTGTCAGGAGATTTAGAAAACCTGTGTATTTCTATGATATATTCAAGTATAGCATACTTAATGAATTTCCGCTATTATGAAGATGCACCAACATTATTTTAGGGGAGAAGTCAGAGTGCTTAGCACCAACACTGACCATTAACAGGCATATTTTCAGAATCATATAGTAGTCAGTAGCTCTCAGCAAAACGTACAAAACAAATAGCATGTTTTTCAATTACAGAGTGGCATGCAATTTAAAACCAAATGAAAACTATAGCTTTTTTTTTTTTTTTTAATGGTGCCTTTGAGGTGAAAAGCAGTCTTACCAAAGCATTAGCCTTTTTAAAAAAACACATAGCCTTTAACAAAGTTAATGGGAAAACTGTATATGTCTAAATCCTAAGACTGGCTTACCTGTATCTTACCTGTTCCATTGAGAATTTAGCTGTGAGGTCCATTTTAATCATTATCTTTATTGGTACTATGTGTGAAAGTTGCAAAAAGATGCTTATAAGATATACTGATGTTACTAAACGAAAATAAATGTTAACCGAAGGTATAAATAAGATTTAAGAATTGGCTTAATAGGTTAGAAAATAGATTCATTCAAACAGGCTGTAAGATAATAGTGACAAATGCAGGATATTATATGCCTAAGAATAAAAATAAAATAGAAATTCACTTAAGAGAAAGATTTACTGATTAGGCCTAGTACATTAAAAAAATAAGCATGGTTCATAGTTCAGTTTAGTCTGAACATGAGTAAGGAATATAGTGCTATTTGGCAAGAAACCAAATAGATTAACAAAAGCCAAAAAATATAGTATGAGTTTTTAATAATCTGCAGATGCCTCCTTAAATAATCTATATATGCTCAGGGAACTTTTTTTACTTGTGTTAACTACACTAATAAAAGAATGGAGTACACATACAAATTAATAGGCTAATGGGAATAGATACCAGGGATTTTATGAATTATTTAGCTGGTGGAAGAGAGTGTAAAAGATGACTTGATATATGGACTCGAAGTAAATGATCACATTTCCCGAGGTGTCTAGCATTGATTTACATTTGCAGAAGAAAAAGTGGAATATTGATTGATCATTTTTGGAGGCATAAGGATAGAAAGATTTCTTTTTGTTCAAAATCGCTGAATTAAGTGATCTCAGAAAGTCTTTAATACTACAATTAATGAATTGTTTGCATTGGTGGGAAAAGTAGTGTAATTTATGGGGACTTGAAAAATGAATGACTCTGCAAAATATTGTAGTTAGTGCTGAGAGATGGCGACTTCCTTGTGTATGCATTTGCATTTTTATTTGTTTGTTTGTTTGTTTATTTATTTATTTAGTACTTAATTTTTACTGAGACTTTTTAAGATGGGGAGATTACTGTAGACCAGCTATTTCAACCAGTGTGCCGTGGCAACTGGTGTGCTGCAAGAATTTTTAAAACATGTAATATCAGGCCATTTAGTCAGGGGCACTGACCTCTTTTCCCTTAGATTGTCATATTAAAAAATGACAACTGCCCTGGGCAGTGTGGCTCAGTTGGTTGAGCATCATCCTGTGTACTCAAGGGTTGCAGGTTCTATTCTCAGTCAGGGCACATGCCCAGGTTGCGGACTCCATCCCCAGTAGGAGGTGTACAGGAGGCAACAGATCAATGTTTCCCTCTTTCATAGATGTTTCTCTAAAAATATGACAACAGCCAACATAACAATAGCCGTCTGGTATGACTGAATCAAAATTATACCTTTTTTTTTTTTTGCCAGATTGGCAAAAAATATATTTTTTGGTGGTGCAGCAGATTTTAGTAATTAGTGTGTGTATGCCATGGATGAAAAAGGTTGAAAATTGCTGCTATAGACTAATGCACAAACTACTATAGCTTAGTTTTTAAAGAAAAAAAAAGTTTTAAAATAATCTTGGCCACATTGCATTTTTTTAATATATATGAGCCATATTCGAAGAAGCCTAAAAACATCTCCACTATTTCTTGTCCTGTGCCCACACTGTCAGAGATGCATGGTTCCCCAGTGAATACTTGTGCACTAATTCATTTGAGGACTGGTTCTTTTTTAGGCTCAGATACTGATTTTTCCCAAAGGACAGTTTGCTGTTTCTACTTGACATTCTCAGAAGAAAAATAGAAATGTAACATCATTAGTTTCCTATTGTAGTATAAGTAGATCATTATTATTTTATATTTATTCTGTGTGTTTTTTTGTAACTAATTATTTTTTGTCATAATTAAATGTACATCTCAGTACAATAAAAAATTAAGACTTCACTTTTAAGACTTCAAAGATATTCAGTACTTGCAGCACAATTTCTAGCCCAACCACCCAGCTCTAAGGGTATGAGTTCCCTTTTTTTGTTAGATAACAATACATTTTGTGGAAGTTTTTGATGTATACTCTGAGGCATTAACTAAATGCTAACAATCTTACTTTATGAACAGGCTATTGTCCTCTTTGTAAATAATTAACAAACCAACTCTGGGAATATGCTCTTGTCAGTTTTAACTGTTTTATCCTATTAGTCAGACATTTCCCTTTCCTGTATTTAGCTTCTCATTTTGTTAATTAACTTGTTGCTCTTACTCTAAATGAGATAGAGAATTAGGTCTTTTTATGTTACTTTGTGGTCTGAGCATGCTTTGATGAAAAATGTAGATCAGGATACCAGATATTTTCTCTTATATATACCTCATGGGAAATATTATTGAACATAAATTAAACAAGAAGACAGATTTCAGAGTGGATATCAAATCTTGAGGTTGTTTTATTGGCAAGTCCTCTACCTTTAAAGGCTGTATTAATATCCTTGCTTACATTAACTATGCTAATAGGCCACAAAGAAGCTGTGAGTATCTTTAGATAGGCCTGTGGAAGAAGACTTATACTTTGTACTTACCACAGCTTGTTAATTTTATAGCCTCCCAGAGCATAATAATTGCTAACGGGTAGTCTAATAAAGCAGCATAACAGAAACCCCCCCCCCCAAAAAAAAAGGCCTGTTTAAATAGCGTAGTGATACATTTTTCAAACATACTCCAGAAACTAAATTTTAAAAGAGTGATTTTTCAGGATAGAGCACTTCAAGTTTTGGGAAAAGCTCATCATAGACTCTGGAATTATGGGATGTGTGTACAACTTTTACTCCCTCAATGAACTCTAGAGTTTCCATGGATCTCTTTCAGGTTGAACAAAGGGAGTAAATAAATGTTGGGATATACCTCCATAATAACGTAAATGTGGCAATCTACAAGGGAGGCAGGAAGGTTACCTGAGACCAGAGTAGAAATCCTCTTCATTTAGGTATATTTGTTCTTTGTTGTTTGGATTCCTTGTAATTGTATCAGTTTTAGAGATAACCCTCTTAGGAAGAGGGTCCTGAGTCCCATTCATGGGCCTCATATGATGATAGCCATAAATAATATAGTTGAGGAAATTATTTAAATTGTCAAGATGAGCAAGAAGAAATAAACCTGTTTTTGAACACTATTGTGTGCCATGCATTTCACACATTATTTCAAAGAAAAGCAATCAATCTTGAACATTCAAAAAATTCTAATGTTCATTGTGTTATATCATTGGATTTTAATATCTTCACCGGAAGGCTAGCAAGAAAGGAAAAGCTGTGGAGTTCATGTTCTTCAGAAATTGTTCTGATAGAGGAGGGTTATCAGAGAAGGTAAAGGTAGCTCAGAGGAAGGACGTGGATTTCACTCACGCACATCCCGTGTGGCCCTGTGGATAAACGTTGTACTCTCTTTGGAGAAACAGGCACCAGTAACAGAAATTCAGGTCTAGCATCTCTGTGCACAGACAAACATGAAAATTGGGGCTGTCATTTTAAGATAACTTTTAATGTTGTTGTTTAGCTGTTTTCATGGTTTATTTAAAGCTTTGTTTTCTTCTTTGTTCTTGTTAGGAACCACCCCTTTCTGGTAATATCAAGTTGGAATACTTTTCAGAATTAGACATTAAAGAATCAAAATTATTGGTCGTCTTTTTAACTTAAAAATCCTTTAAAAAATATTTATTGTTGAAAGCATTGTATATATGTCCTCCCCTCCCCCCGCCATGTACCCTTTCTATTCCAACCCAACCCCAGGCCTTCACCACCTATCGTTGGACTAAGAATAAATATAGTGCAAGCTTTATGCTAATGCTGTGTTTTTATTCCAGTGTAGTTATTTATATGCTACTAAGGAATACAGAGTATTAGTTCCAGAAAAAAAGGATAAAATTGCCTATGTATTTTTAGTGAAATTTAAAAAAAATATTTATTGATTTTTTTTTACAGAGAGGAAGAGAGAGGGATAGAGAGAAACATCGATGAGAGAGAAACATTGATCAGCTGCCTCTTGCACACCCCCTACTGGGGATGTGCCTGCAACCAAGGTACGTGCCCTTGAACAGAATCGAACCCGGGACCCTTCAGTCCGCAGGCTGATGCTCTATCCACTGAGCCAAACCAGTTTCGGCTTTTTAGTGAAATTTTAAGTGATTATATTTGTTTATGTCATTGACAGGATTTAAATGAAAGTACAAAATATCTAAATTAAAATAAATTGATTGTGCCTGTTTTGATAATGAAGAAATGAAACCTAATGTCTTAAAAATTAGATATTTTTTTGTCCCAGATTATAACTAGGAGCCTGTATCTTATGTTGGACTTTACATATTTAAAATACTTCTGATGATTGGAAACATTCTTAATTTTAAACTCACATGCGTGTTTTATTGGACTGCTGTAAAAGTTTGCCTTATATAAGGTTAGTTAAAAAAATACATAGAGTAGCCCTGAAGAAACCTTTGAAAGAGGTAAGCATACTCTGGAGAAAGTCTGCTTTGGGTAAACTGCAGCTTTAGGCACATGTTGTATTGTATTCTCATAGGCATTTTCTTTTCATTTCTTTATTTCTTTTAGAGTAAGCGAGGAAAAGGAAGTGACCGAAGAACGACTCAAAGCTGAGCAGGAATCATTTGAGAAGAAGATCAGGCAGTTGGGAGAACAGAATGAACTGATCATCAAAGAGAGGGAAGATATCCTTTTTGAAAGTTCTCTTTTTTAATGTGCAGGAAGTTTGACCCTTTCGTAAATGCCAAAACCATACTTAAAGATTATTTTGTTCTCTTAAAAATACTTAGGTATTAATGCTAACCACAGGGAGGAATTGATGATAAAGTTTACAGTAATTAAATTTTGAAGAGACAGTATAGTTTTGAAGCAAAATGTTTTTTGATTTATGAGGGAGCGTCCTTTAAAAAATGTTTAAAGCAATTCAAGAAAGCTTGTTGCTAAAGAAGTCAGGCAGGAATTACTAAGGAATCTCGCCATTCATTATGTGCTGCTTTGACAAGGCATAGAACAGATCTCAAGGAAATTAATGCAGAAACAAAACTGAAAAGGCTAGGATTAGATGGAACCTGCTAAAGGGTGTTTTATGAATCTGTGTCAGGATCAAGCTTTCTTGTTTTATAGCAAGAAATGCCGAAGTAACAGTAATAAAAGCAAGATAGATGTTTATTCCTCTTTCTTATAAAAGACATTTGAGTTTTGGCGCAAGGCAGGGGATGACTCCCTTGATTTGAGAGAGTCATGACATTCTAAGCTTCAGCCATCATGTGCATATTCTAGTCGGCAAGAAGTCAATTGTTGGATATAGAAACATAGTTAAATTTTTATATTGATTTTATCTTTGACCTTGCTAAATTCAAACTTCGTTAATTTTAATAGTTGTTTTCACAGATTCCTTAGGGTTTTTATGTGAGAACAATTATGTCATCTGCAAATAAAAATAGTTTTCATTCTTTTCTGATCTTTAAGTCTTTTCTTTCTTTTTCTTGTCTTCCTGCAATACCTCCAGTTATGTATTGAATAAAAAATGAGAAAGAACACCCTTATCTTGTTCCATGTTTTAGGAGAAATGTGTAATTTCAGCCTTAAGATTGATGTTAACTATAGGTTTAAAAAAGTTTTTATTTATTGATTGATTTTAGAGAGGAAGAGAGAGAGAAACATTAACTTGCTGTTCCACTTACTTATCCATTCATTGATTGCTTCTTGTGAGGGCCCTGACTGGAGATTGAACCCACAACATTGGCATATTTGGAGCAACACACTAACCAACTGAGCTATCCATTTTTTTTTATTATTATTTTTTTAGGTATGTTTGATCACACTGAGGATTTTGCTTCATTTCAGTTTGCTAAGAAGTTGTTTGTTTGTTTTTATATAGTTGTAAATGGGCTTAGATTATTGAGGGCACTTGGCATTCATTATACATTTAGTTATTGTCTGTTTCCCTCATGGGACATTATTTTTGCCTTATGCACTATTGTACACTGAGAATCTTATGCAAGACCTGTTACCAGATACTCAGTATGTACTCAAAAAATATCTGTTACGTGAATGAATTGTTAAATCTGTGATGTTTGATCAGAGAATGTCTGCATTTTACTGCTTTTGAGAGAAAACTTGCATTTTGCTATTAGAGCTGCACATCATTGCACTCTACCACCACCTGGTGTTAGTATATCTAAATTGCAAGAGAAGCTTCTTGAGAGGCGAAGAAATAATGAGAGCCAAAACTGCAAATGTGACTGTAATAATTTGAAAATAAACATATACTCATTTTATATAACATGAGTATGTCTGAGGTTTAGCAAATATTTTTAACATTTAGTAGGCGCTGAAGTGCTTTCTGTTTTCCTGGATGTGGAAAAAGAATGAAGGATTAGTTTAATTATATATGTGAAGGAAATAGAATAAATTGTGAAAGTTGACACAAATAGAGTGAGAGCAAAGGTGTTTATATATTTGCATTCCTGCTCCATCAGCACTTCTTTCCTGTTAGGTGCAAGTTAAACTTGAATTTTAAACAAGGACTTTTCAGCTTCTTAATATCTTGCAATATTTAATATATTGCAAGAAAGTCCATCTTGTGGCCAAGAAGGAAATTTTAGGTTTTTTAAAATCCAATCCCTTCATTGCACTGAATTCACTGAGACATAAATGTAGAACTGGGTGGGATTTTATCTGTTACATCAGGCAGCATTTTAGAATGCGGCCATCTACCTCTATATACTGGTATGACTACCACTGTGTATTTTCACTTCTTGGCCTCCCTTGGGGAAAAAAATAAACTGTCTGCCCTGGCAAGGTGGTTCAATTGGTTGGAACATGGTCCCGTACTCCAAGAATTTGCTGGTTTGATTCTTCAACAGGTTAAAACCTAGCTTGCAGGTTAGATCCCTTTTCTAGGTCAGGGGCTTATATATGGGAAGCAATCTCTCTCTCTCTTTCTCTCCCCCCCTCTTTTCCTCCTTTTTTCCCCTCCCTCCGTCCATTCCCTCCTCCCTGTATTTCTCCACTTCTCCCTCTTTAAAACCAATAAACATAGCCTCAGATAAGGATAAAAGAAATACAATAAAATGGACTATCTGCCACATATGTGTTAATAAAAGTTTTTAAAAATGCAATTCAGATATTAAAAAAATTTTATTGGCGCTAAATGGTCAATTTTGTAAAATGTTGTTATTTTTACATAAAGGTTAGACCTTCTTATGGTCAGAATACCTTAGGATGATAGTACTGGGAGTACCATTTTAGTAATAAAGATTATAGTGTGGATAAGTTCCCTACAAGGCCCCAGGACGGTAATACCCCTAGATTTTGTCTTTAAAAAAAAAAACTGCTGAGAGGCAATAATTTTTTTGTATGTGTCCCATTTTCATTAATGCATGGTAATTGATGGAGTTGCAGTGACTTGTAGCAGTAATGAGTTCTAAACATAATAATGCACTCTTTTCTAATAAGTGAGCACTGCTGGGGTTTAAAAGCATACTAAATCAGTTGCTTTAGTATGAATTTATTAGTTTTTTTCAGCATTAGCTTTAATAGTAGTTATTTACATAAGCATACATCCCATTAACCGCCATCAGGGCTGGAAAACATGCTGAACTGTTCATATTTTCATATAATTATTGAACATAATGGTTTCATTTGCATTTCTAAACAGTGATGTTTCTGTCAGCCTTGGAAATAGTGTCTTTACGCAGTCCCTATTTCACTTCCACTTATTTGACATCGTTAAATTTTATGCTAATGTGCTTCCCTGGAATATCATCAGTAGGACAGATGCTCGCGCTTTAATATACAAATCAGGGATGCTTTTCCATCCCCCAAATGGCAAAGAAAAAATTTTGAAATCTGCACTTTTAGATATAGATCCTGTCTCCATATAAATAGGTTCATGAAATAAAATTTTTAGGGTTAAATGTTATAATCTGGTTTTCCCTTCAAAGTACTTCATTATGGGTAGCCATCTACCTGACTAGGGTTAGTTTTGTTGTATTGAGTGAGCAGATGAGCTCAGGAAAGATCTGGTTGCTTATGAATATTTAGAATTCTGCTTCTGAAATGTTGATCTTGAGATGCAAGTTTTTGAGGGCCTTTGAATATGTCAGGCCACAGAGTTAGTTCTAAAAGTATTCTCTGCATTTTTGTTCCTTTCATTTCTTAACCTGGATTGTAATATCTCACTGTGGGAGATATTATTGTTAACGCTCTTGGGCATCCAAGCTCTTGTATACATTTATAAAATATTCAGTGTAAGAAATGAGTCAGCCGGTGGGGGATGGGTGTCAGATGGGAGGCCAAGAGCATGCCAGTGAGGTAGCAGAGCTATTATGGAAGGACAGGTTTTAGGGGAAGGTACTTGTCCCTTGGATATTACACGTATTATCAGCTTTTGTGTCTCTCATATGTGGATGCTTTTGTGAATGCTGCCAATCAGATTGCTGGAAATTTTCGAACAGAACCAAGTAAAGAATTGTTTTGAGAGCTGATTCCGGTATTGTTGGTGCCCACTACAAAGACACGAGCTCTTCTGGGGCCCCTTCTGCTCTTGTGTCCTGACAGCTCAGGGCAGCGCTTTCGACCCGCCGAGCCAGAGCTAGTCTGCAAAGTTCAAAACACAAGGTCGGCAGCCTGGCAGGATAGGGAAAGAAGTGGCTCTAAGAGGAGTTCCTGCCCCAAAATACTTGCTAAAAATATATAGAACTGATGCAGCCTAAAACTGATGCAGCATATAAGGAATATTTGGATAGAAATGTTAGTTGGCTTATGAGGCCAGGAGGTAACTGATATCTTTGCAAGGACTTCTTTTCTTTGGGGTTTTGCCAGGGAAGAAATATAAGGGTTATGAAGAAACTACGAAAGAGGTGGAGTTTCATAGCTATTCATTTTTACCCCGGCTTTTTCATGGCTTTTCTATGTGATCTCTTGAAATAGCATGAGATTAGGATTTCTCACAGTAGTGGGATCTTCTGAACTCTCATACTGAAAACATTGATTGTGTCCTGCTGTTTAGCAAAAACGTAGCCTTCATTGTTGCCAGATAGCCCGTTGTATATGAAAAAGTTTTTTAATGTTCTGAAAATCTAGCCTCATTTATAAGCAAGGCAATATTTTCAGCTATTTATAAAGCTATTTGTGATTACATTCTTCATTGATAACATTTTTTTATTTTTATTTGGTGGGGTGCAGTTTGCAACCAAAAAAAACCACCATTTATCTTTTTCCTCCCTATACACATTTCTTCCTTTTCTTGAAAGAGGTTTAATGTCGAAATGAAAATTTCACCTGCCTATTCAGTTTTATTTTGATATTTAATCTGACAGCTTGCCCCTGAGTGTCTCTGCTTCTCTAGAACTTTCCTACCTTCAGGGCAGCAAGTTTTACGTGCTAAGTGACTGGTTTTCAAGCCCTGACTTCAGAGGATAAAAGACCGTGGTTGTAGGACAGTTTCCTTGTAGGTTTCTTACACATTTAAAAATTCTAGAGAAAGTTGTATATCTATACTAATAAAAGGGTAATATGCTAATTAGACTGGGAGACCTTCCTGATGTCCTTCCAGACAAAGCCATGGCAGCGGGTCCAAGAGAGGCTGTTAGGGGCGATCAGGCCAGAGGGGAGGGCACTGGTGGTGATCAGGCTGGTGTGTGTGTGGGGGTGGGGGGGGCAGTTGGGGGAGAGAAGGCTGGCAGGTGAGTGGTCAGGAGCCAGTGG